GCATGCCTAAAAACGAAGGAGTAAGCTTTTTTGCGTAATTTTGTACGAAAACAATTCTGTGTCGGAGGCGAGATAAAGGACGTAAATCGATGTTTTTTTGCAGGAAATATTAGTGGTGTTCATTTAGATAGATAAATTTGCCCTTCGCATATACGTATATTTTTATCCACTGCTTTATATAAACGAGTAAAATAGAATCTTTGTTGCCCCTTATCGAGAAACTTGGGTCAAGGTTTAGTTATTTGTACAATTATTTTCGGTTGTTGTCTCCAAACGCATAACCCGAATCCAAAAACTTTAACATCACAATCCAAGGATTAAAATTTTATTTAAAATAAATGGCCCGTAGTCATAGTCAAAATAAAGTCGACTTTAAAGTTAGTTGCAGCTTTTTGACATAATTTTCAATGGGATATCGGTCAAAAAAGCTGCAACTAACTTTAAAGTCGACTTTATTTTGACTATGACTACGGGCCAATAATCTTGTCAAAATGAGGTACCTTCACTTAATTGTGAATAAAAGCGAANAAATTTCCGAACTGAACTTTTTTGCAAATTTCGACGTGGGTTCTGCGCAAAAATACTGTGGATGGCGTAACCGGAGTGATATGCACAAGAGTGTTGTATCCCTTTGACATGCGGAAGCGGCAACACAGAAAGGAGAATTCTACTTAGTAATGGTTATAATCCCTAAGCGCGGCCGAGGGCAGAAGCAAGTGCAACAGGTGGTGGACATAAGAAAGTGCATGTTTTCAATGGCTTGGAAGAAGCTGTTATTGCATTAACTGGATTGAGATCCAGTTCTTCAGGCATAGGAGGAGTTCTGGCTTGTGGTGGTTCAACCAGAAGCTGACATAGTTGCGCCCATGGTTAATATGCCCGACAGCTCCGCATATCTTTGTGAAATCATTCCCATAGCGCGCTCTTACTCCGCTGCTATAATTTCAAATGCAATAGAATCCATCATTTCCTTCAAAATATGTAAAATCGAACAATTTTACTACAAATAAGGACTGCATGGGTGTTTTTTTAATTCCTTTCTACTTCGTTTTCCTTCATTCATCTATCTTCGACAACTGTTAGCTGGCAATGCTGCACATATTGCCGCAAGGGTTGCAGCATGTAGATTTTTCGGTTTTCGCAGCATAGCTACGAATTACGAATTACGAAAATTCGCGTTCTAGAATAAGGGGGATAAATGAATATATCAAACCATGAACTTAAGCTAAGTATCCTTTCATCACGGTGGCGAATTTTAAGGACATCCATAGGCTTTTCCCCGGAAAATCCGAAGAAGGTTATATGCGAATCTTAAGTGTATATATATGTTGCAGTAATATTGTTTCACATACATATTTAGGTTGTATTGGCTACTAAATATAGTGCTGCACAACTACCTGCGCCTTTTGTTATTCACCGCATCTTCTGGTTCGTCGGCTGAAAGTGAAGAAATCTTTAACCTTCCCAGTGTCAGCCGCAATGATTTAAATACGGCAAATGCTTCACCACAAGAGGCGTTACAAAACAGAGACATATTGCGTGTATCTAAAATTAAAATCCTTGAGACTACCCGTTTAATATATAGATTATGTATTATAAAAAATATTTAAACGTATTCTCATTATTAAATTCATTTTTTTATGTACACGTACATGCATACATACATACATATGTGAGCAAAGAATGCACTATTTAAATTATTTCAATTTCAGATTTCTTTTAGATATATTCTTTTGTTGTTTTCTTGGAAATACATATGTGGCCATTAATCGCTATTTTTCTATTGGAAACACTTATGAAGCGCAATGAAGAATTTAGTCCTGAATTTCCCCAACTATTTTATTTTCGTTTTGATAAGTTTGTGGATTATTTAGGTATTTCTAAATCAAGAAAATATCATAAAATTTTAACCTTCTCATTAAATATTACTGATATTAATTGTAATTTTCTTTGTACTAACGCCATTTATTTTTTCAGCAAATTTTCTTGTGGAATGTACTGAAGCTGAATTACGCATTTGACAAATTTATATCGTATGAATTTAAACTTAGTTTCTTATTTAGTTTGTAGTCAAAAGCTTATGTACAAATTGAACAATGTTAAGATAATAAATTCTTAACGGAACTGAATGAAAAGGAAACACAAATGTTGCCATAATTTAAAAATTTTGCAAGATATTATTCAAATGTATACATGTATGTATATAAATCTACGTGCATATGTTAATATTTAAGAAATATTCGTAATTTAGTTTTTTAATAATATTCAAAATTTTTCCATCATAAATCTTTTTCGTTAGTTTTTATTTAAAACATAGCTCATTCTATAACAAAAACCATATGTATCAATTTTGCAAACTAAGTACAAAATTCACACAAATTATTGAAACTTTAAAAAATTGTATTAAAAATTAAAAAAATTTTATTCAGGATTTTTTGAAAATTTTCGATTATGCAGTTTGTGCCATTTCAAGTAGCCGTTGATTTTTAAGAATTTTTTTGTCGAGGCTGTTGCGCATTTTCTTCTATATAAAAATAGATTTTGTTCATGCGTTACCTAGAGTTTTTACTAATTTATTTAACCGCTTTGTAAGTAAACACTATTTTGTTACACACAGTCCTTTATGGTATATTCACAGTCGAAATAAAGTCGACTCTAAAGTTATTTATAGTTTTTTTTTGACAGATGTAGAGAGATCATGTATTTCTTAAAAAAGTTTTCAAGAACTTCTGCGATATAATATAAATAAAAATAAAAGTTAAATTTCGCATAGCTGTTTTTAAATTATATTAGTTTTTAAGTAAGTTATTTACTGACATATGAAGCTAGATTCGAAAAAATTAGTTAGTGCCTATAATAATATACATATCGCACACCATCTTCAGGAGAGGCACAACTCAAATATCACATCCGAAAATATAACTGCTTATGGATCGTACAGATTCAACGCACCTAATACAAAAGTGAGGTGTGCGGTATATACTAAATGAGATGCAATTTGTCGGCTAAGGTTCTTTAAACATTGTCACAGTAATGAAATTTTAATAAAGACTGAAATATATGAATTATTAATTTGTATCTTTATTTTTTTATTTATAAATACATTTTTTTTATTTCTGATCAAATTCTTACCGTAGGTAGCCAAACATTTCTTTATTTTAATAATTGAAAGATCGTTTTCTGCAGATGGTAATTTTATTACCCTGTTGTTTTGTTTTACAAATAACATTTACATATACATAGGTACATACAGTGCATAAAAAATGCACGTTATTTTTTACAATATTTGCAAAGGCTTTTTATACCAAATCCTTTTCGTAAACTTTGTTTAAAAATGTAGTCCAACGTATGTATGTACAGCAGTGTTCACAATGGTCACAAAAAATGTGCAAGTTTGAAACTTGCATTTATGTGGTTCCTGTTATAGATCGAACTGTGTTTTAAATGAAAGTTACTAATAACAAATTAATAAGCATAAGTTCAAAACATTATTGCTGCTATTATTGTGAACACTGCTGTACATACATACATACATACATTGGACTATATTTTTAAACAAAGTTTACGAAAAGGATTTGGCATAAAATGCCTTCGCAAATATTGTAAAAAAATTAACTACAGTACAAGCATGACTTAATACTAATAACATTAGTGTTTATTTAATTTACGGTTAACCAATTGCAAAATCTCCACCTGAACTTCGTCAACCTCATGCTCAGGGAGTCGATCTAGCCTTTCGCCTAGCAAGGCAAAGAAATTTTCGTATTTGTCTTTTTTAGCCGGCGTTGACTCCTCCCCATACTTGCTTTTCATCGCCGTTAAAATTTCCGTCATAAGGTAATTTTTGCGTTTTAGTGTGGGTGTTTGCGGCGAAGGATTAGAGTTCTCGCCATGTAACCACTCCACAGTAGCTTCGTCCTCTTCAAAGACATTCGAGGTTGTGCTGGAAATGTATTACGAAAAAACGAGTAAATAGATACATATATGTACACATGTATCCGAATGTTAGCGGTTATATAAAATATACCTATATATGTACATGCATATAAAAAATTAAATACGCATTAAATACCGCACATTATTTTTCCGATATGTTAACGAAGAACATAGTATTTTCACCACGATTACCCAAAACGTATCTTTTCTTTTTTAATATAACGATGTAATTCAAGCAATATTCTACCTGTTTACCTGGCCGGTTCCATTGAGTCCGCTAGAAACTCAAGGCTTTCTCGGTATTTCCAAGGTGGACCCAACTTTTGGGAAGAGCCAGATGGACGATCTTCAACATTTTTTTCCCGTCGGTACCTATCCTGCAGACTTTTCCATTTTATTTTGAACTCTTTTACTAAAACGTACATGTTTAAAGTTAATATAAAAACTAAAGTTAATGTTAATGCTACTACTACATATCTAAAAGTTAAGTTACCTGGGAAATTCGGCTCCTGGCTTCAATCGGTCATGTTGCTAGAACCCCGGGAATGTAAGGCGAACCCAACTACATATGTCAATTTAGATAAATCTACGATATTTCAGTAAATATTGTATCCAAATTGTTGAAAATTGGTATGTGAAGTAAAATTTTGGAACAAAATAGGATTAGACGCCGCACAGTGGGATTTCGGCGGAGAAAATTATGTTGGTGAAGTTCATATTTTGTCGTTTTTTATACTTATTACTAATACTACATCCCTTGGGTGTCCCGGTTTAACAAGATATGGCAGCGAACATAATTTACAGTTTGAAAACTAAGCCAGTAAAGTCATGGGTCTGAATGCCTACATATCGACTCCGCACCCATGACTAGACAACGAAAGCAAGGGCCCCACGAAAAAATGAAGGGCCAAGTGCAGACGGACCAAAATAAAAAGTTGGGAAGTAAAGTTCCCTCTTGTTACTAAAAGTTATTGCGGAGAATCTGCTCATGCAGCTCTTGAAGTGTTCGATTCAGATTCTCATGCGCATAAAGGGTAGCTAATGAAAGTTATACATAGCACTTGTCGACCCAAAGAATAAACTTTATAGCTGCAAATTAAAAAACTTTTTAAGCATGCAACATCTTATCGGCGCTTATCTGCGACGCCACTTGAACGCTTTTGCGGCTTTGTGGCAATGCATTCGCCTATCATAAATGTAACAAAACACGCTGAAGAGGATGCACTGTGAACTGAGGAAACACTTACATGCTTACGCGCATGTGAGCGTACTGGCGAAGACGTGTAGACAAGTGAAGTACAAACAAAAAACCTAGCTCATCAGATACGAGGAAAAACCTGCAATTGACAGGCAACCGATCACAATACGTACTGGCGTACAGATGGCTTTGGCCATGGACGCGCAGCGATCGTCGGCAGTTGATGAAAGAGCTGTGGTGTAGTCATCGTCAGAGCGTCAAAGCGGTATCGCTGGCACTGACGTTGACGACGAATAGCGATATACATAGCCACCAAAAACGAAAAAATAAATATTGCAAGCGCTTGCATCGCGGCGTATCTAACGAATACAATAAATGCATTTTAATTGTATTTAAAACTACACGCTGCAGCAGCGGTGTGGGGCGCAGGCCGTTATATGCCATGGGAGATATTTTACTATCGCTATTCCTGCTGTTTAAGTTATCGTGGCAATTAATCGCGGAACTCGTTTCATTCTTAATTCACGTTTCATAGAGAAACGATTATGAGAAGACTTATTATGAGAGTTTGATTGCTCAATAAGTTGATGACATGAAGTCATCACTAGGGCTCGGAATCTCATGCAAATTAATGTTTTTTATTGGTCAGCTTCAAATGGAGATGGTTAAGTTATCTTCACGAATCATGAAATTTCCCTTAAAATGGCATTCAAACGTTAGTGCATAATATTTTTACAGTAAATGCATGGTTTTGCATATTTTTGCATATTTTGCAAAAAATACCTGTTTTTTGCAAATTTATTGCGCATATCTTAGTATATTTCACAATAAATCCATATGGTTTTTTTATATATGTATTTTCTTTTTTGTTTTAAAACCATTTAAATTTAATGCGAAATCCCTTGACATAAAAATTACCTTTTAATTTTTGCCCAAATATTCATCTGAATATGTTCTCGAATAGCCAAGCGGCCATTAAGGCACTATTTTCTACCTCTGTTAGATCTCAGTTAGTGGAGGACTGTAGGACAGAGCTGCCTATATCTCTGATCAATACGAAATTACCCTAATATGGGTCCCGAGACATAGGGACATTTACGGAAACGAGGCAGCGGACGAATTAGCAAGGGGCGCCCCGCACTGAATGTGTGCCAGGCAAAAATTTCAGAAATTTACCACTTGGAGGCCAAGCAGAGGTAGAACCGTACAGGATCGTACGGGATTACCCGGAAGTTTTGGGTGTCCTACGACCCACTTAAAACCAAAGCTCTCTTAAGGATGAGTAAAGAAGATATCTACAAACTTAGTACATTATGCAGAGGATACTGGCCCGTTGGGGTACATGCCGAAAGGGTTGGATTGCCTTCTCAACAGGTTCTGTCGTGGTTGCGATGACCGACTTAAAAGAGACAGTCGAACACTTCCTGTGCGACTGTCCAGCCCTCGCAAGAATAAGGCTTAAGACACTCGACAAGCCATTCCTGCAGAATGTTTTAGAGTGCAGCTGCCTCTCAACTGAACCACTATTAAACTAGCAATGTTTCTATTTACCCCAGTTTGAAACTGTCTGCTTGATTATAAACCAATTTTATACATAAATATGTTCTTTATTTTGAAGTGAATTGTTTTCGTAATTTTCTTGTTAAAATCCATGTGTTAGGTATTAGGGACAAAACGATACTAGTAATGGCAAGTACATACTCGATACTTTCCGTCCGATACCAAGTAATTTTGGTATCGATGATTTTGAACCGAGTACTGAGTAGGTATCGGAAGAAAGTACTTGTATCGGAATCCGATTCAGTGGAAATTTTATTACCGAACTTTTGTTGTTTACAGGTCTATTCTGCACGTTACCGAAGATTTTGTAACCGGAAAATTTTATTACCAAAAAATTTTACCAGTTCTTGTCACCGCGATTCTAGGAACGTTGGTAATGCAGTTAAAATATTCAGCAATTCAGCTATGAAGAATGGTGCAAATTCTGGCATTGCATATTTCACGGGGTAATACTTTGTTACCAGCTTATGAGATGTTTACAAGAGTACACAGAATGAGAAAAGGGTTTAAAAATTGAAAGACACTTTAATTACCGGTTACAAACTTTTTATTACCAGCGCAGAATAGACCTGTTATTCTAATTATTATTGTGAATAGCTAAACATTTTTTCAGTTTAGTTGTCAATGAAAAGAAATTCCTACAAAGAAATACGTATTATCATCTCATTAACATATCGCTAGCTTGAAGTGAAAGGTTGCTTTTACTTTTTGTGAAAACTCATATTTGGATATACATAGGAAGCAAGGTAAATTAAAAACACGACGTCTCCAAAAGGATTAAATAACGTGCTTGTTTTATTTCTTCCCATTTATATTAAATTAAAGGCAAATTTTAAAGTCCAAAAGAGACACAGAAAAGCGATAAGCTCACAAAAAATTCTAAATCTTTTAATTTGCATCGGAACCTTCTGGAAAATTCTTGAAAGGAATATTCTGAAAAGTTGTTTTCCTCCCCTGTAAATTTTCTACAAATGGACTTACCAACTTTTCACTCTAAGCTAGCGTTATGAATGCCTACACCACACCAGTGGCGGACCCAGGTAGGGGAAATTGGGGAAATGTGTCAAATTTCACTTGAGTTTGAAATTATAGCTGTGTGCTAAGCTCGAAGTATTGTGTTATTTAAGTAGGCCTATCAGTTTTTCATATTCACTGAATTTTCAAAATTTTGAAATTATGTACTTAATTTTCAATTTTTAGTTTTTTTGTTATATTTTCGAATTTGTATTGTTTTACACAGTTGAAAGTCACAGCAAGTGTGAATATTTTCACAGGTTCAGAAAATAACGAAAATTCCAAAATTTTGAATTTTATATTATTAAATTTCTTGAGATTTCTTATTTTTAGGATAATTTCCAAAATTTCAAAAACTATCGAAATCCGGGAGATTCTAGAAATTTTGGTAAAATGAGAATATTTAGAAATGTACAAAATTATTGAGATTTTAGAAATTTTTATATTTTCCAAAATTTTGAGAATTTTATTTATCCTAAAATCCAACCTAAAATGTAAAAATGTGAAACATCACAAATTGTCGGAAAATTCTTATGTTCATGTACTCTTGTGTAAAAAATAGAAAATTCTTAGAATTCTAAAAGATATTAACATTTTTGAAAAATTCCAAAATCGTTCCACTTTTCTGAACTTTTCCAAAATTTTGTATTGATATAACAAAGTTTGAGAATTTTAAATTTTTTGAAAATTTTGAGAACATCAACGTCCAAAAATTTTTTGAATCTTCAAGAATTACGGAAATTTTTTAAATTTTCAAAAACGACGAAATATGAAAATGTTTTCAACATTCGAAAACTTTTAATTTCGTTTGATCAATTTTTTATATTCGACACTTTGACTTTGAAAAAATTTGTTAGAATTCCTACAATTCTCAAAATTTTTGAGAAATAAAAAATTTCTAGAAATTTAGTATTCATCATTATATTGAATTAATTGAATTATTGGGATTTACTAAAATTTCTCAAATTCACAAAGTTTTGAAAGTTTAGAAAATTCTGGAATTCCACTCAAGTTATTAAAAAGGGGAAACTTCAAGAAATTAAAAACTATCAAAACCCTAAAAATTTTAAATTGCGGTGATTTTTAAATTTATATACACGATATATGTTGAAAAATGACGAAATACACGCAAAGCAACAACACAAACTCGGCTATTTATCCGAGTTCAGCCAGGTCGGTTAAAAAATACGCGACCTGAAGAGTAGTGTTGTTAAGTGAAAAAACTGCTCTATTGTGAATTGTTAATGGGAAAGTGGAGAGGGAAATTTTTGTTTCCGTATACACATGATTTAAATTTTAAATAAGTATATATGTTACGCAAATACCTCGCATAATTACTAATTTCTATTGTTTTTGTGTCTAAATCCCGTAGAACTAATCACATGTTTCTTGCCAGCTACCAGCAGGGTTGCTTAAGTAGCTAAAAGGAAATTTTACCCGAGTTGAGCGTTCTTTTGTCGCTCGCTTACAAAAAAATGCAGCTAATAAGCAATGTAGTTTTGTGGCGCAATACGTAGAGCTGAATGATTGATGATGAAACGCTCAAGTTCCGAATTTTTTGTTTGAATCATAAAAGAAAAAAGTTCTCTTGACGTTAGGGTAGCCAGATATTTTAGTGACATAATCAGTACAGTTGGGATCAAAAATCAGTAAAAAGCCATACAAATCAGCCCATTTTTAAGCGTCTTTGTACAGTTGTGTTTACAAATATAGTAGCAAAATGTATTAAGCTTAGAATTTTTTTATTTACTTAATTTAAATTTTTTATAAAAATATAGTTTATTTTACAATAAAAACCATGTAAGTTGAAGTCTCAAACTTTCTAGAAAATTTATAAAAATTTAAGAAATGTTCATCAACGTATCAACTTTTTGATCCGCATTTTCAAAAAATTTTGGAGTACGCAGTTTTGTAGCCTATTCAGTTTCAGTAGAAGACGAGCTCGAGTGAGAGTTTGTTTGCATATTTTAAGCTACAAATTTAAAACATATTTAGTTGGTGTGCTTATTAAATACAACATTCACATTAAAATGTTGACTGAAAGGTATAATACCGAATTATCTCTAAACGAATTTTCGAGTACGAATGAAATTGAATAGTGTTAGGTTGTGCAAGTAAAATTAAGGGTGGTCGAATATCAAAAANATACCGAATTATCTCTTAACGAATTTTCGAGTACGAATGAAATTGAATAGTGTTAGGTTGTGCAAGTAAAATTAAGGGTGGTCGAATATCAAAAATCAAAGTAAAGCTAGATATGTACATATATCATATCCAAGAGTCGGTAGTTTGCACCTTTTCCAAATTTATAGAACTTGCGTTGCAAGAAACTCAAAAGCAGCAGTAGTCGTCTTCATTTTGAAATACTAAGTCTGTTCCAGGTGCTTCACGACTACAGCTGTTTCTGTAAATCCTGTAAAACCTGCAAATCGTGGAGTACCTGGAACAGATCTATTACCCAGCAAATATTGAGGTTAGTTATCGATTAGAGAATAATTGGAGAATTAGCCACATTCTAAAGAAAAACCTTTACTTAACTCTTTAACGAATGATTTTGAAATTTTTTTTTTGTTTCCAATAAATTTTAATTTCGATAACGTTGCTGTAACAGTGGCAATGGCCCAGTGAGCAGAGCACCTTCGTGCCAGTCGAGAGATCCGAGTTCAATCCTCGGCAATGGAATTTTTTATTTTTTAATAAAAACTTTTTCTTTTAATTTTTAAGTTTTATTGTTTAAAATATTTCTAAATTTATTTAATGTTTAGAAACTTTTTAATTAATGGCGATTTCGTTTCTACAAAAAGTGTTGCCTTCTCATCGCCCTCTTCTTAGTGTTTGTGCCTAGAGGGCAAAGAGAAGGTTGCATTTTTTGGTAGAAACGAAATCGGCATAAGCTTTTTTTTCATTTTTAACTTTATTTTCCTAAATTTTTAGTTTTTCTTGTTTTAAAAAAATTTTTTTTTAATTTCGTTTAGGTTTTAGAAAACCTATTGGTAAACGATAAATAGAATAACGCTGTCCTCCTGGTTTGCAGATCTTTCAATTAGTCATCCGAAATACAGAAAAGAGCTTTCAAGATAGTTGCCGGAATATAAACATTTTTGTCTTTCGAAGGACTGAGGTGAGTTGAGAGAAGTTTTGATTTTTTTTAGCAAACAGTTTGTAAAAATTAAATGAAAAAAAATGTTTCCTTTTTAAAACAATAAATTCTACAAATCAAAAGAAAATTTGATTAAAAAAGGAAAAAACTAAATAAAATTAGTTTTTAAAAATTTAACAAGAAAATGAAATAAATAGAAAAAGAAAAAGAAAATTTTCCTGTCCTAGGACTCGAACTCGAATCTCTCGAATGGCACGCCAGTGCTCTGCTTACTCAGCCATTGCCACTGTTGAGGCGGTGCGCGCAAAATGATATAAGTACTTATTTTTATATTTTTGATTGCATACTGAACGAAAAAAGTGAGTGATGTGTGGGGTTGTTATGTATGTACATTAGGCTGGGTCGATTT